CCTCAGTCCAGATATGGTCACTTCCTGTTCACTGGTTGCAAAAGAACAAGATGGCGACGGACAAAAGGCTGAACTCGAGGCTTCAAAACATCAACAAACGACTACATCCACTTCTTATAAACACTCTGTGGTTTCCACCATGTTCCATGTTTCTACAGTAAGCCACAACGAACAAGCCAAACTGACTCTAAAGAGACTTTTTATGTCGTTATGCAACCTCTCCACTAGATGTCACTAAACCCTTCACGCTGTTGCTTTAACACCCAGCACAGCGCTAGTATGTGGAGCACTAAATACTACATGTAGTACACTAACTATGACGACATGTACATAAACATACAGTATGTGTGTCTGAGGTTAGGACGTTAAACTCACCTTTGTTGATGATATAAACTAAAATCGATGTCAGACTCCGCCTGTAAGAAGAAAGAGAAGTGATTAAACTATACATGACATTACATTAAGAGGTTATTGGGTGAATATTTCTGTATCTGTAGTGTAGAAATAAAGAAAGTAATAAAAAATAACAGTGCTTACCTGTAAAAGGCTCCCCTCACCAAAATGTAAAACTTCTAGAATTGTGTCTGACTGGATGAATGCTGTAAAAAAACAAAAACAAAAACAGGAAGACCGAATCAGTATCATCATCATCACCATCATCACCATCTTTGAGAAGGAGAACAGTTGGGTTCTAATTAGAAGTGAGACAGTTTTAACACTTGAAGTTGAAACTACAGAAGTGGACATTTCTAAAATTTGATTTCTGCAAAAGACTCCGTCTCCCAAATCTATAAAGCACAAGTCATCAGATCTTCATCATCCACAAAGTTATATTACTAGTAAAGAGAAAGTCTCCGTTGTGCTCCTCTCAGAGTGGACGTGTTTCATCAACTATAGAGAACAAAAGACTGTTCTGATAGTTCATCTAATAGTTGATTTTAAATCACCAGGTATTTGTGTTAAATACCCGACAAATGAAAAGTTCTGAAGGTTTTCTCAATTTAATAACATCATGAAACTACTAATGACAACATTTGTTTTAATCAATACAAATACAATCTGTTATTTCCTAATCATTTGAACTGTGTTTTATGAAGAAAAAACACACTAAATGACTAAAACAAAGTAACAGTATAACATTTAGAGATCTGGATCCTTGTAGACCAGCTGATGTAATCGACCAACAAAGAGATCTGGATCTGTTAATATGGATCATCAGTGATGGGTTATTAGTATCGGTGATGCATATAAGTTATGTGATCTGATCCGTAGGAATCTTCCGGCTTGGAGCCTAAAGTTTGACTCCAGACTTCTTACGCTTCTCCCCCGACACTGACATCCTGTTCACAGCTCACTGTGTTGGTTATAAAACATGTCTCAGCACATCTGATTGCCTGATGCAACAACTCACGCTTTCATTTTCCTTTTTAGATCTCACTGCTGACATCACACAGCTCTACACTAGAGATATTCTACAATGGGTGAGCATCTGAACTTCAAGTTCACCTTTTAGAGCTTTTCATACAGTGTCTTTGTGAAGAATACAAGAGTGAGTAAAGCAAAGCTCCGCCTGGTCTCACTGAATGCTGCAGAAACGACATTTAGTGTGCAAAAAATAACATTCATGCTTCCTGCGTGTCATGTTACACCGCGAGGTCTGTGATGACTGGAGCGTGAATATACTAGGATGACATGTGAGGAAGACTACCTGTGGTGGGAGAGTCAAACGTAAAAGCACTTTCAACACCAGTGTCCATGCCCCAAAGTGTTGTTGAGCTGCGTTAGTGACGTGCTTCAGGCATTTATGTTGTGTAACATACCTGCGTGGCGTAAAATGACACATAAAAAGCCTGAAGTATGTTCTCATGAAAGTCCTTCAAATGTGGTGCTAGTTATACTCCTTCCCATGAGATCAGGTTTAAACCAGAGTGAAAGTTACATCACTTTGAAATGATCACTAACAAAACAACAAACTTAGAATCCTCATCGGTGCTCCATCCTTTTGGACCGATGGCCGAGTGCAACCGAGAGTTTCGTGGCCAAACAGAAAGGAAGCAGGACGTTTCATAATTTCTCTCATTCGCATCACGTCATCACTGCCAACACGGACCAGTTTAACTTGGTGCGGGTAGTTTAGATAGCTACGGACAGCTAGCAGTGAGCGTGTTAACACGGACTCTGGTTTCTAAGCTTTACAGAGATGAAGAACGACGAGGCCCAAAACTAACAGACACAAGAACAGTTTCCTCCTGCAGGACGTCACTCTGACCAAGAGATAAATCAAACACTGCTGCATTGTTGGTCATTGGTGCTTTATATTAATAATATACATATATATTTCAATATACACTCACATACTAGTGTACATAAGAATCTATGCTTTGCTTGTATTTGTGCAGCTGTGTCTGTCTGTGGAGGTGATGCATTGAGAGAGATTACAGATTCATAGTACGTGTTCACATACTCTGAGTGATAACTTCCTTTATCGCTCAAGTGTTAAGATAAAGTCACAGATTGTGTTGCATGTGCAATGGAACCCAATGTAAACACTTTATAGGCACCAGACACGTTTCTGTAAAGGTTGGCCCTGCAGCTCATCTCGGGGGACGGATCCTGTGACCTCACATGATCAGTAGATCAGACAGCCGGACCCTCCGGTCCTCTGGACTAATAACACAACACCGACTCCTGCCACCGATAAATCACACCTCTCAGCCACGTTTACAAATATCAGCTGACTGATTCAAACATTTCCTCTATTGAGAGGAAGTAATGTCAGGAAGCCTGAGACCGTGTTGCAATTATAACTAATTCCAATACATGAAGATCACACAGCAGATGTTTTTAGTGTCTAACAATGAAGCACAACATTGTAATGGGTCAATATTGCATAACTTTGTAAATTTAATCTTATTTTCTGTTTTAAGGTTTACTTTGTAACATCTGTCTCTTGGAGCATTTACAGCTATGTTTGTGTTAATGTGTCCCTAATAAACCAATAAATAAATAAATAAATAGATAACAGAAGCTAGCATTAGAGCTAGCTATGATGCTAACAAACTGCTCTTATTCCGGATTACTCTCTATGTTTGTGATTAAAGGTGTTAGTCTTTAGCCTTATATGGACACAACATGACAACAAGCTACAACCGAAGCTAACGTTTACTGTTTACCGTTAAAAGGCCACACGGAGCTAACGGAAAGCTAGTTAGCACTTTACTGATCAACTGTTAAACCAGCTCCAGTTTGTAATGACAGTTCGTTATACATGTTTAAGATAAACAACTACGTTTAGCTGGGTTTAAACGTTAGCTAGCAGACATTACCGGAGATAAGTTAGTTAGCTGTGTCAAAAAGTATTTCTACGTAAGGGCCTTACGTAGAAATATGCCTACGGAAGTTAGCGCTACCTGCTACATGCTAATGAAGTTAGCGCTACATGCTAAGTTTACAAACCTTGTTTATTGGCCCGCGTGGTTTGAATAAAAGCAATAAATAACATCCTCAATAATCCGAAACATGGTGGTCTTCTTCTTGTTGAACTCGGGGCTCGTTCTTCACTCGCCATGCCGCAGTTTGTTCTTCTGTTACGGTGACAACAAACGAGCGGGTGAAGCTCTTCTTCTTCTTCTGACTCTGTCAATCATAGCCGAGAAGGACCAGCTAACTAACCACTGAGCAGGACGTCAGCCTCTGTGTGTGTGTGTGTGTGTGTGTGTGTGTGTCTCTCTCTCTCTCTCTCTCTCTCTCTCTCTCTCTCTCTCTCGGCTTCTTCTTTTTGGTTCGTGGTGGTGTGTGGTCGATGGTTTTAGGGGGCGTACCGCCATCTACCATACCGGACGATGCAGTGTAGAGATAAACACATCAGTCCCTTTATTTTTACTTTATTTGGTCAAATAAAGTAATCATGACATGATATATGTTGTCTTTACATTTTATATTGTTTTCAAAAACAACATAAATATTATAGTTAGGGCTGGTTCAGGTTTATAGTTAGGGCTGGTTCAGGTTTATAGTTAGGGCTGG